GTGGATCTTGTGATTTTGATCAAACCTTGGTATAACATCACCTACTCATGATGTGTGATGAATGAGCAATTGAGCTGTAAATATTTGTAAGATAAGACTTTTGTGTTGTAAATGCTGTTACATGGGTGTATGTCAGTGCAAAAGTCAAATTTCACACCATTCTCTTTAATTCCCGATAATTTTTTCACAAATCCTCAGTTATAGTAATTTATAGGCTGTAAATCATGAAATGGAACATTTCACATCAATTGAACTATTTATTATCCTCATCTGATAAGTTTTGAGATACGTAATCAGCTGAAAACCTTCATCTTCAATTATTTTCACCCTTTGTCACCACTTTTTGCTTTTCTGACCACTTTCTTTCCACTATGAGATCATGTTGGATCATTCTGGTCTTAATATTAACCCAATTTAAACTTCTTGAACCTTAAACCAAAACCTTTTTCAAATTTATCACACCTATATTTTTTACTTTTCCCTCAATTCTTATTCTTTCAATCTTCTTCTTTCATTCCTTTGATAACAGATTTCATTCTATTGAATAAAAACTAAATGCTCTTTTTCTTATATCCAACTTTAATAGATGATCATTGATTTGATCTTACTCATTTACTATTTGTATGATTTTTGACTTATCATCACTACCTACTACCTGTATTAAATTGTATGATTAAATTGTATATGATTATAATAGTATAAAGTGATTGATTTGAAATACCAGTTGACCATCAAAGATAATAAAAAAATAATTCTTGCTGAAAACACATCTACACCATAGTTTACTGAATTTTCTGCTAATTTAAGAGATTCTGCTCACCGCAGTGCCAATGTGTGTTTCATGGATTTGGGCTTTGGGGGGTGATTGCAATTTGAGTTGGAGCTAATTATTTACCAGAAACGGCATGGAAGAATGGTACCTCTATTTACATGTAAGTTTCAGTTAACTTCTTATATCAGTACACAGCTGATTTGATGGCTCAATTGGGCCCAAAGTGGGTTTTGTCACAGGGACTTCTACCAGTACTCTACCCCTGACTACAATCAGAGTTCCTGCAGGGATCTTGAAAATTCCTGATAGTGTATGTAATGCTTTCTAATGTTGAGATCAGTTTCAGAGAAAAAAAATCACTGTAGAATTGGATCAGGGGAAGTATCACTGGTAAACAACAATTCTTCTGTTCAAAGCCCACACTTAATGATCAGGTACTTTTGAATTTGTTTGGGATGCCAGGAATACTGATGTCCATACTTCTCATATGTACTTCAACATTTTTGGGATGCCCCTCCCTTGTCTTCTCTTTATGTTTCTGTTCATTTGGTGACATAGAGGTAACTTAACATATTTTGAGGAAACAACAGAAATGCTCACTGTTGTGATAAACTCGGGGGAATGGCTTACAAGTGGGAAGACAATCTGTATGTGATGCAATAGCAACTACGGTGATCAGATCTCTGGAAGATAGATTTGATCAAGTTTGATTGAGGAATCCACCTAGGTAAGACTTCAGCTGTGGCAAGATCAGTGTTAAATGACTAAGCTTCCCATTAAACTTCTGTAACTCCCTCTTCGTACAGGAAACTTTCGCCAAAAACTCATTGACTTCTGATCGTCGTTTTACCAACTTCTTTTCTGGTTAAGACGGTCGATTTCCGTATAGGTTCATGTGGTAGAGCGCCGCAGAATAAGGGGTCATTCGTTCGTCCTCTCTCCTCTCAGTTCCGCTTGTCTCTTCTCACGATCTAGAACACCGGATCCTTTCCACAAGGGAAAATCCCTCCTTTTTTCGAACGCTAGTGGTAGATAGACTATACATGAAGATGAGGTCGAGTAGAAGAAACAAGCAGATGAGCCCAGAATCACCCCATCATCACCATTAGAAGACAATATTCGTTCATTTGAAATTGAAACAGAACAAGAAGAACAAGAAAGAAGGAATAGAGAAGATAGAGAAGACGAAGCTAGATCAAACGCCTTGAATGGAATTATATCGAAAAGAAACAAGAATAGAAACAAGAGAGTGGTAGTACAAGAAGACGAATTAGGAGCAAGTGACAACTTAGAGATTGATGGAGATATAATCTTTAGCGAAAGAGAAGATGCTGAGTCAGACAAATCATCCTCCTCCTTAGAAGTAGTAGAACCAGATAAAAGTTAGTACCGAATATTCCATTCTTCTTCGCGTTTCCAATAATTTCCTCCTGTGAATTGAGCGAATAAGGATCAACCACCAAAATACACCTGTGATATATTCCAGAAGTCTATTTCAAGTGTGAACTTCGACATCGTGATTTACTCCGATGGTCATGTTTTCGTCTAAGTGTTCTTGATCGTGATATAATTCGATGTCGTGATATACTCCGAGCACACCTTCCTTAATCGTGATATAGTCCGATGTCGTGATATACTCCGAACACATATCTTCTCTCTTAAGACAAAAGATTAATCGCAGAGATTCATATTACAAGACCATATCTTCGTAATGAATTAAAATTCGTCCATGAGGGTCATAGCAGCTATTGACTCGGTTAGAAACATAATTGACCAGGGGTTTTTCCTGCGTACAGATGTGTCAATTGAAGTAGCCAAGATGGCTTTAGCTATGGGTGATACGAAGATAGTCAAAAGATTTTTAAAATCAATATCTAACAACGATAAAACGTCATCGGTTGAGAACGATAATCCCATGAAAAATTACAGAAGTGATCAAGTATCAAACTCTGAATTAAGAGCGTTCACGACATATTGGGACAAGCATTTAAAGAAATTGGACATTTACTTTAAACTGACCATCTTTAACGACAAATGGATAGAGCTTGATCATATGGTAGAAGGTAATAACATGTCATCGAAGAAAAAGGACAAGCCTACCGGACAACCGGCTAAAAGTGAATGGTGGTTGACGTTTGCAGACTGGATAAGAGCTAAAAGCCTAATGTTGAAGTATTTGAGAAATACTTACCACCACGGTCCTTTTGCAGAAGAGTAAGCAATTCATATTATAAAAACAATCGTTTAAAGACTAAGGGCGCGTTCACTTAAGGAATTTCTGACCAGAAATCACATTCTGTAAATTTTTTGATGCAAAAATGAAACATACACCACCAAATGGACACTTTAAATTTTGCAGAATGTGATTTCTCACCAGAAATTGCTTAAGTGAACGCGCCCTAAACGTACTGGTTTTTAGTTTGGAATGTCATTTTGAATTAGTAGAAAAATTAAGTCTGAGACACAGATGGATAACTGCTTTTAGATATGACATCATGGTTAGGACAGATGTCCTGTGCAATAGAGTTAACGGTGCACCAGGTAGTCCAAAAGTCTTTCGAGAAAATTTTTTAGAAGAAGCGAAAGCCAGGACAGAATTGTTAAGAGACGGTAGAATTACCCTGTTGGATAACCGTAAGCCTTTTTATTGGGATGGTTGCAATACTAAAAAGGAGACGTGCTAACTGGATCTGCATGTTTGCAGCTTATGCAAAGGGCAATCCTAGAGAAAAGTTCAGCCCGATAACCGGAAGATTGTATCCTGAAGGTGTGAACCATGACTCGGTAGATGCAGATGTTTTTGATGACCAAGATTCACATGACCTCTTGAAGCCCCCGACTATGGAGAGAGGAAATAGCTTCAGGAAAGCAGGAAACTACCAAACTAATAATAGAAGAAACAATAACGGTAAATTCAGACGAGACAAGTCACCAGGTCTGTACAATAAATTTGATAGAAACAAAGATCAAAAGGAGAATTATAACTCGAAATGGAAGGGGAAACAAGCGTTAGTAGGCAACGTCATATCATCCTAGTAGTATCGACAAACTGATAAGGTTGTTCCTCCATATAGGGATACGTCACATTTCTCTAGAGTAGACAATGATCCTCCGAGACAATCTACTTCGAAAGAAAAACAGACGTAAGCTTAAGTTCGATAGTTCCTATTGTAGAGTTAGATAGATGAAGTTTGTGAGAGGGGTTGTTTCTGAATAAATTGTATTTCCATATGCCATCGTTTGTACCATGAAATTGAAATTAGTGATCTATTGTCGAGTTCAACAGAATCCCACAACAGAGAGTTCTTGAATAAGATAAAATGTTTAGACGAGAAAAAGAAGGAGAAGATTTTAAAGTTAGCTTGGCCTGCAACGGTGAAGTGCGATATGAACATCCCACTTTGGCGGTTTCGTTTGGAGGAACATGGTCTATTCGAGAAATAAGGTTATCTTTTAGATGGATTCAAAAACGGTTTTCATCAAGGAGTACCGAATCACATAATCGGAGACTTACGATTTTATTGTCCTCCTAATCACAACTCAGCAAACAATGCCAGGGAGAAGATAGAAAAGAACATTGCGAAAGAGGTAGCCGCAGGAAAGATGTAGTAGTAAGCGAAGCCGGTCATCGTTTAGTTTTGGGAATTGAACGTCGTGGAGCGTGTGCCACATGCGCAAGCCTGTAAGGTGCCGCTTCGTCGTGTTACTGATGACTCGATGCTGGTTCTCGGAGTGTCGATTGATCAATAATATGATAATTAGCAAAGTAAGAAGCAAGTACAATGTAGCTCTAACTGGCTATATATCATGATACAACCCTTGTTCAGATTGTGGTTTGGAGGCTGGAGCTAGCAGACCTGAACCTCATAGAAATCCAACACACACTTGGCAATGCTGGATTGAGACATGCTATTTTGTCAGCTCACTATTGGATGAGATAAGGAAGATTCATTCCACCTAGATTTTTTCACTATGGGGTGGGGAGATTTCACTGAAACATCATTGTTGGCAACCTCATAGCGATTGCTGGAGTGGCAGCTGATTTGGTGATGTCTCAGACGCAGCTGTTGAAAGTGAGAAGATGTGACATGGACTTTGCACACTTGTATAAAGCTACACATACGCTTACATGTCAGGACCCTGTCACCAATGGTACCCATGGCCGAGGATTTCCAGAACTCAGACACAAACTACTCCACCGTGCAATACACACTTTATCAATCAAATCATGCCTCACGATCAACCCACGAGCTCGTTCGATGGACAGCAAGCGGATTTTTACGATGACTACGATGATGAGATGAACTCTCATCCTGATTTCGCCGAAGGAGCGTATGAAAACGACGGAAATGAAGAATGGGCAGATGAATATGAAGAAGAAGAAGAAGAATCTCAGGAAATGTTTCCCATTGGCTATAGTATTGAGTTCTCTCCCCCGAGATTTGATGGAAACGACGAAGGCAAGAGCTCGGATGCACCGCGTGGTGGGCTGGGGTCTCAAGCTCTGCCTGTGCCTGATAGCATGAGATCGGATTGGGATGGCATCCCTCAAGATGGTGCTGAATACCTCTTCACAGTTCGGTTTGTTCGTTAGTTGATGTACAATTTCGCGTTTGTCAATGGCCACTCTCCAGCTGAGTATTACTGATCCCCCAAACACCGACTATCTTTCCCTTGCGTAGGCAAGAAGCTGAAAGCCGACCGCGAGTTGTAGCAAAAGAAAACCCGTATGCACTCAAGCCACGTTCGCGGAAAGCACGCTCGACGACGCCATCTGGGAATCCAGGCTCATCCTCCTCTGTGGATGTCGCCTGGAGGGCGCAATTTGCTTTTCGTTTCAACAACATGAGAAAGGTAAGGTAGTTAGATTATCGCACATCTATCTCATTGCTCCCAAGCGCCTTTCAAGCTAATATGTGGCTATCTTCATGCTTCATGACCTCATAGAGCCTTCAAGACCAAGAGCCAGACAACTGGTCTATGGACAACGCCTACCTGAACACACCTCCCGCAAATGATGAATCCAATTGGAGGATTTTCATCTTTGGGAAGAAAGTAGTACCGAGCTCAGGTGATCAGACTTTAATCAAATGGGTCGGTGCAAAGCAGCCAATTCCCACATTTTTGAAAGCTTTAGATCAAGTAAGTCTTCGATTCTGACATTCATGCATGCTGTTCAGCTATCTCAATTGCTTACTACTCATCCCACAACTGATTTCTGGCTCTAGGTCACTGTCATCGCAATTTTAACTCATTATACCGGCTGGATAGAGGAGCGGTTGTACTCCTTGATGGCCCTAATTGAGCAGCACACCGAGACTCCTGGGGATGATTCGGAAGCCGATACTGCTCATGAGATCACACTGCTCTCTGCCCATGATGGATCGTGGCTTTTGGGTCTGTTATCGATTTTGGACAGTGTTTTGACTGCACAAGACATCTATAGACTCAGAGCATTAGCAAGAGCTTGTAAGCGCGTTGCTCAGATAGCTGACGCGGCAAGTACACAAGCCGTATCTCAAGACGATAGCTCACATCAGGAAGCCGCTGCAGGTTGGATGGTCGTCGCTGCCATTGCTGATGTTTGGGGACAAAAGGATCTTTGGGAAGATTGATAGTGTGCGCATGCGCTTGGGGTATCTGTCAGTCGATAGATTTGGATCCCGTCACCTTCATTCTTAAGCCTCTGGCGACGATTTTTAGTACAATTCTTGTATCAAATATATCTTTTCACAAATGGCGAGTGTGGTCACACAACGCAATGACGGCAATATAACAATCTCCATGTGAAGTCCGCCAGCCAACACGAAAAAGAAAGTGGAATCAATGTCGCACAGCTTCTCTTCATCAAAGCACCAAGCCAATAATTTGCTTAGTGATGCAACACTGCCTGATTGCCCCAAAGTCTATTGTCGGTCTTGCAGCAAAGTTCGCAAAGCAGGTAAATGACCTGAATGATGAGAATCATACTCCAAGACTCTTGGAGTGCCCTCAGATTTTACCCACCCAGATCAGATCAAGATGTGGTCTTGATGATTTGCAAAAAGTATGTAAGAGATATTCTCCAAAATGAAAGTGAGTTGCTATGCAAATGCGGTCTCAGCTGACCACAGATGAAAAAATGGAGTATCGGGGAGTCGAACCCCGGACCTCTCGCACTTGCAACCATGCGAAGCGAGCGCTCTACCAAATGAGCTAACACCCCTGTATGATTGTTTTTCTGGAAGGGAAACCTGTACCACAACAAAATGAAGTCATCGAGATCAGCCATTAATCACTCAACTGTCTGTTCTCTCCAAATATTTTTACATGCCATAATAAAAAAAAGTGAGGTTTTATGGACGAGTTTTTGAGAATTTGATTCTTGTCTCACAGGTCAGAAAGTGGATTGGACAAGTGATCAATTGCATGACCATGGTCAGACCATAGAGTGACACTTACTTTGAAGAAGGTTTGAATATGCACATTTTAGCAAAAAAAAAGGATCACAACTTACAAGACCCTTGGAAGGAAAATTTGAAAGTTGATGATCTTTTCTGAGAAAGAATAAAGTTTGATGAAGGTCAAGCTTTTGGCGGTATATCAGGGTATATCAAATCAAAATATGAAAAGATTGATTGGGTGAATTGAACTTGATAGAGTCTAATGAGATTCGAAATCCATCAAATCTCGTCATTTACGATACAACATACATTTGAACTTTATTTCTTAAAATTTTACTTTTTAAAGAAATTCGAGTTTTCAATCGAGTTCTTTGACTTTGACATCGATTTGATTAACTCTTGACCTTCAACCAATTCTCATCATACCATTTCATTCATATCCTTACTGTCAAACCAGTTCCTTGAATCAATCTTAACATCTCTATCATATCACTTTCGATCAAAAAACAAGATTAAATTATGAATTTCCTCAAATCTCAACTCAAAACTAAAAGTTCACAACTTGAATCGAACTCCAACCTAAGTTTACCATCAGATCCATTACGACATTTAGAACATTTACCATTATTAAGCATCTTAGTACCCATCTTAGGATCTCATTTACATGGATCTCTAATTGATTGGCAAAACATAATATTTTGTTTGATTTTATTTATTTATATTTTCAATTTGATCAACTTACCATGGCAAATGTTAAAATCTAGTCAATTTATCCAACCTATTGAGTTTAACAAACTATTATTGAACTCTTTTCAATCATTAAAATCTAAAACTTCTAAAAACCTATCACCACTATCATTATCATCATCATCATCGATTAAATTTGAACTTAGATTGATTGAATTGATTTCGGTTTTCAGTTTGATCCTTTCACCTTTTGTTTCGATTTATTTACTCAAGTTTTTATACTCAAGTCTTAATCCAGATTCCAAACCAATCGATCCATTAACGATTAAATTATTTTTCTTAGCTACTAGTTTTAAACCAGTTGAATATCTTTTATCTCGTTTACGTGAAGGTACTTTATTTGGTAAACCGATTCGACCTACTTCAATGATATCCAATGGACAAATCGAATTGATTGATTTGATAGGTAGATTTGAAGATACTCAAACTCGAATAAGAACATTAGAAAAAAGATTAGCAAGTGATCCAGAATTAGATTCATTACGATCTGATACTGAATTGATTTTAGGAAAAGTAGCCTTTCAATTAAATCAACGTTCAACTCATCTCGATAGATCATTAGAATCTGAAATGTCACAAATGATGAGTTTGATTCAAAAATTAAATCAAACTAAAGAATCGATTGAAAAACTTGAGAAAGAAATTGAAAAGAATATCAAAATTAAAGAGGATGAAAAAAGTTGGGTTTGGGATTTGGTTCTGAATGTGGTTCAAAAGCTTGCCAGATTGAAATATAGTCAAAAGAAACTTATTAAATAATGGTTAGTTGACCATCAATGGTCTTTGTAAAAGGGTTGTATTCTATCTGATCCACCATCTTGTATTTACCAGTCTTTGTTGAGTTGAGTTGTTGATTATATGCGATTACATTATTATTAAAATAAAATCCAATTGAGTGACATACTATTACAGTGAGTTTGATGGAGAATAGAAATCAGAGACTTGTTGACCGCCACTTGTTTACCAATACAAAGGATGAAAAGGTTCATTAAATTCAGTTTACTTCCTAGCTTCTTACTTCGATTGATCTTGATCGTTTACTCAGTTTATCATGATCGAAATCATAAGTTGAAGTATACTGATGTAGATTATCAAGTTTATTCTGATGCTGCGAAGTTCATCTTATCGTCATCATCATCAAGAATCGGTTCACCGTACGATCGGGATACATATCGTTATACACCTTTACTTGCAATCTTACTTTTACCTAATCATCTCTTACATCCACTTTGGGGTAAAGTTTTATTCTCATTATCTGATTTAGTGATCGGTTTAATCCTTTATCTTTTAATTCGATCCAAGAAGTCATCTCATTCGATTTTGATTATCAATTCACTTTGGCTTTTAAATCCAATCGTCGCTAATATTTCCACTCGTGGTTCAAGTGAATCGATCTTAGGTGTTTTGGTCATTAGTACTTTATACTTCTTTGAACGGAAAAGATTCATCACTTCTGCTATTCTACTCGGTTTAGCTGTACATTTTAAAATTTATCCTTTTATTTATGGTGCTAGTATTTGGAGTCATTTGGGATCTCATTCTAATGTGACTTCATTTGGTTATCGATGGGTATCCATCAATCAACCTCAATTTCAATTCGTTTTCATTGCGATCGGGACTCTATTCGGCTCAAGTGCTTTGATGTATCTAATGTATGTCATTCTTCATTTAACGTTATGCCAATCAAAACACGAATACTGAAATTTTGCTCAACACTTTTCACAGATGGGGTGATGAATACCTTCAAAATAGTTATTTGTATCATTTAAATAGACTTGATCATAGACATAACTTTTCACCTTATTTTTATCAAATCTATTTAAATTTCTTTAACTCTAATCCGATTTATGTTTTAAGATTTTTATCAAATCCTTTGATTAGTTTCTTACCTCAAATCAGTTTAAGTTTAGGACTTGGATTTTTATTTGGTTCGATTGATTTAAGATTTGCTTGGTTTATACAAACTTTAGGATTTGTTGGATTTAATAAAGTGGTGACATCTCAAGTAAGTTTATGGATTTCATTTATCTTTTGGATTTCATTGAGATAATGATTCTAAAGAGTTCAATAACTGATTTTCATGGGTTTTCATCACAGTATTTCTTATGGTATCTTTGGTTTATTCCACTGATTCTGGATCGGATTCATTTATCAAGATCACGTTTGATTTTCATGGTCTCAAGTTGGATTATCACTCAGGTTAGAATCTCATTTCTTTCCAAAAGTAATCAATGTCTTTAGATTTGATATTCATCATAGTTTTCTTATCTGATTACCATAGGCTCTATGGCTAAATCAAGCTTATCAATTGGAATTCATGGGAAAATCAGTTTTCAGAGAACTTTGGATGTTCAGTTTATTCTTCTTTATTTGTAATTCTTGGATTTTAGTTTGTTTGATCAAAGCTTATAAACCTATTGCTCATTCTAATCTTAAAATTGATTAAAGGTTGATCTAAATTCGTCTTTTACATGTGGAATCTTTCTTTATCTTTTTATCAAGAAGAAATCAAAAATAATCACATTGGAATTTATCTTCTATGATATTACAGCTGTTGTAAGATCTACTGGCAGATTTTGAGAGCTTTGTGTTGTTGCTAGATTTAATGTAGAGGTCAAAAACTCAAACAAGCCCTTTTGAGATTGATACCTCTACTGCCCATTGGTCCAATCTACACCAGGAAAATAGAATTCACTCTGAAAGTGATATAGTTTGAGTTTTTGACTTCAAAAGTTAAATCTGGCGACAACAATTTTTTACAAAAATCTGCCAGTAGATCTTACAACAGCTGTGATTCTTTGTGATTAAAGTTGAATGTATTGTAAACAAGTACAAAAGCATTTTATAAAACTGCACAAGAGAACAATGAAAATACTTCATTTTAAAAATCATTCTTGCATGCTTTAAAAGATAGTTCTACATAGATCAATGTCCAAAATGAGAAAACCTACTTCCACTGAGGATTAATCCAGGATTATTTTCAAGGTTTTCAATGATTGTTTTCTGTAGATGAATTAGATTGAGATATTGATTCTGGATTATGATTGGTAATAGTATCAAGAAAAGGTAGAGCTTTATTTTGTATTTATGATGATGATGATGATTTGGTGTGATAATCAGTTTCTGTTGCCAATTGACATGTGGTGTTCAAGGTCTGTTGGTGAAATATGCAATAATGTTGTTGTCCTTTTGTGAAGGGCCGGAGTGTGAAGGGACTCAGGGAGGGTGTGGGAGCAGATAGTTTCTCACTATCATGAAATGAAGCAATTACCAAAAGTCATGATTTTGTATGTCAGAAGACGTCAAAATTAAACTGTTGATTGCCAAGTTTTCCCTCCATGACCTTGAGATACCCTGATATGTGATATTATTACTGGGTACTCAACGTTGTATATACTTTGCTGTATATGATTTTTTTTTTCTTTTGTCACAACTACAGACCACTAGGGAAAACTATTTTTGTGGTTTAAAAGTACATATATTTGAGCTTCAATAAAAAAACACTTTTCCTGGGTTGCATAAAGTTGCTAAAAAGCACAAAAAAACACATTTTTATTTTTTTTGGCAGAAAAAAAAAGTATGTTAACTTGGGTCCATAAGTATCTAGCTTTAAGTTTGAGGACCTGTTGCATACTTTTCCTGTGGGAAATCTTTGTTGCAGCCGGGTAAACTTCACATACCAACAAAATATACTTTTGCCGGGTTGTGTATAGTCCAGTTGTGAAGAAAACCAAAAGAACTATTTACAGAAAACATATGTACAGAAAACTATATACAACTTTAAGTACCGTAATCACACTAAATGCAGATTTGTCTCTTGATTGCATATTTGGTCCCATTTTAGCCCTGTGAATGTTTTGCTCATGAAGAAATAAAAGAGTTCAATGTCAGCCTGAGCCCCAAAACCAACACCCCAAGGTTCCCCCAAGCCCCAAACCCTCGGGGTGTAGGTTTGGTCAGGCTTTTTGGGACCCCAATACATTGGGGGGCCTGTAGGGTTTGGGGGCGGGGGTGGCCTACTCCTCAAACCCCCAATATTATCCGTGGGGATCCCCAGCTACCCGCGGGTTTCAGGCCTCTGGGATAGGGGTTGGGGGGCTTCTGAGAGTTGGGTTTTGATTGGGTCGGGGTATGGTTTGGGCCCAGGGGTGCTCATTGGATATTGGTTTAGGGTGCGGGTAGGCCATTACCCGTGTTCTTTGGGTTGGGGCTCAGGCTGAGTCCAATGCTGATTGGCTATTAACACAAATATAGCAATTTGGGGTACCTGGACAGACAGGTGGAAGTGTGAGACCTATTGGAACTCAAACATAGTTGGCGGAAAAGATCAACACTTATACCTGGACAACAAGGTGGAAGTGTGAGTTCTAGTGGAACTTAAAGTGGATAGCTGGCCAAGAAGAACATCACTTTTATGTACCGGCATGCAGTAGTGCAAGAAAAAAAGGAAGGGAATCTGAGTATTCATGTTCCAAACAGTTGTCTTGAGTTCAATCAGGATAAAATGAACCTAATAAAAGAAAGGAAAACATGTAAAGCAGATTTACATGGACAGACAGGTGGAAGTGTAAGCTCTATTGGAACTCAAAGCATACATATGGTTGGCAGAAAAGATCAATCCTGCAGTAATGCAGGATGAAAAGGTAGGCAACTATTGTAGATGAGTGAGCTGGGTCTATGTACTAAAGTAAAGAAGTAGAAGTCATAAGACTTAATCTGAGTAGTCACATTCCTAATGGTGAGGACCATACATACTCAGAACTCAAGAGGGGACAAGTATATAAGACCAACATTTGAAAAGATAAAACAACAAATAACTCTGACAAAAATGTAGGCTAGACCAAAGGAGACAAATACACAGAAAACAAGAGACATTATTTCAGTTAATCCCAAAAAGAGATTATTATAACTACTGCCAATTCCATATTGGTCTTGATGCATCTATATGTCTTGATTGAGAGACATTTCAAGCTCCATACTACACTAGAGAGGAAACTAAATAAAACCATCTGATAATTTCTTGAAACATTTATACCCATCACATTAATCACTACTGACATATCACATTTGTGAACCCTGATGTACTTGAGCATTTCCAACTTTTTACCATAACAAGAGACTGCCTGATACAAAAGAAAGAACCTGTTTAGCTCATGGGTATATTGGATTGCAAAAGAATGTAACCAGTTCTAAGTTACCTTGAGGAATTGGGGCAAAACATCAATCAAGCTGGTTTTCTAAATCTTCTATTGTACAGAGAGATCCTCATAGGGTTCATTCAAATCTGGAAGCATGCTGCTGAATTTTTCAACACATGAGGTATATTCCCATGGTTTATTGAGATCAAATAAATGAATATGGCCATCTTGTGGTAATGTTGGCCCAGGAACTGGTGTAATTGATGAAAGTGGTGGTTTGTTCAAATGGTAAATATCACTTGTATACCCTCCAAGCCCAATACCTTCAACATCTATCTGACCCAATATGATTTTCTTACCACCAGTATTTGATTCTTGGATGGCTTCTGGCTCTTTGAGACTTGAAATTTTGTGGTGAAATGTGTTTTGTGGTTCAACTGTTGAGGGGTGCATGGGGGCAAAAATTTGGGTGGGCCATTGACTCACACTGCCAAGGGATGAATTCACAAGTTTATTTGTCCTTTGTTTCTTTTTTACTCCAATAGAAACAGATCTATCAGAATGCATCAAAGTGTCTTCAACTGGTTTTCTCTTTTGAGGAGAGGTTTGTGAAGATGTGTGGTCTGTTGTGTGCTCTACCAAAAGCTTTTTGTTGGAAGTGATTGAGTTTGGGTACCGGCTAGATCTTTTTCTAGGGACCTCAAAGTTCATCCTGTCAGAATTTGTGATCATTGTTTCAGCAGAAGTCAAGCCCTTGGAGGCATGTGGCTGGCCTTCAAGTGCATAGTCAGAGTGAACAAAATTCCTTCCAAATGTACTATGATCATTTTTAGATTGTTCTGGCATTCTGTGTCTATGTCTTATGACTTCTTTCATTGCTGTAGATTGGGATACCATGGTTTCTTTTTCTTGATCCATTTCAAGTGCATAATCCTTTGAACTGTTCTCGGAATATTTTGGCATATGGTCATATAATTTGTTCAACCTCTGTGAAGATATCAAATGATTAAAATAAACCCGGCCAAGCTCAAATTGCATCCGCTGGTTAGTCTTTTCCTGCTTGTTTTTTAGTCCAGTTGAACTGTAGCACATTGTGGACCAATAGTACATCATGAATTGTGCTCTGGTGCATCTTATACCAGGATCATTTGAAGAAGACTGGCTCTTCACAGCCTCTTCAAGAACTTCTCCAAGCCTCCTGATCAACAGATAAAACATAACAGTATTTTCTATTTGTCTTTCAAATTTTGTTGGTTCAAATTTGTTTGCAATAACTGTCAATACAGATCTCAAAATTTGCCATAATATCAACTTTTCTGAAGATTTAGGTGGATCAAGGTTGGTGACTAGATTTATTGTCCTTGCAATGTGCCTCCACATCTGATTATGCTGTGGGTTGTCTTTGTTTGTTTTCCCCTTGATTTTACGGTACCCACTCATATCTCTCACCTTTCCTGGTAAAGTAGTACCCTTTTTTGAAGTACTTCTTGAAATTTTAGACAGCTCAGATGCAATTCCAACATGGTCAGCACTAAAGGACTTCCAGGATTTGATAATGTCAGCTTTGATATTTTCTGAGATCTCTCCATCAATTTTGAAATGGATTCCAAAGAGGGGAAATTTCAATGGCCTAGTTTTGTCATGTGGTTCATTGAGCAGGTGTTTTTGAAGAATGTGGACATCAGAAACATTTCTTCCAAAGAATTTCTTCAAAGATCTAAAGCTAATTTTACTATCAACTTTCTTGATCAAATTGATGTCCTGGATAGCTGCAGAAGCTAGTACTTCAATCTTCTCAATCAGCTTCATATAACACATGTAATGGCTTGCATATCCAACTTGAGCTACTTTTGGGATTGTTTTCTTCCATTCATATTGTATTTGATTGACTGACGAGTGGAGACCAATTCCATGGTTTATGTTGAACCATTCCATCAATAAGTGCCATCCAAGAAAAGGCATGCTAGCATCCATGAATGGATCAATCATATTCCTGGACAAGGATGTATTATCAAAGTAAGTGACCTTGAAATGTTTTTTTACATCCTCTGGGAGAAATTCTATCTCTTCATGGGTGCTTTCCGGCAAATGTACCTTCAGCAGTTGAATAAGGTAATACATCACAATTGCAAGAGGTTTGTTGGCCTTGTGCTCTGACCACTCAACAGCATCCCTATGAAGATTCATTCTTTGGTCAGAAGTGGTTTTCATCATTTTGTTGGCCAAGTCCTCAACTCTTTTCTGGTAAGTAGAAGAATTCCTATTATGTCTTGTCACTATATCAATTGTCCTTAGATCTCTCCAAGCATTGAGATGGTCTTCTTGCAAGAGTTTCTTGTCAACAGAAAGTAGTTTTATTTCTCCTAAGAATTTGAATGCCAAGAAGTCAATTTTACTTCCCTTAGCTTGCATTTTAGACATTTTAGGTGAATTTTACTGACCAGTCTTTGGTGCTTCTGTTACATTGTCAGATTCTAACAATTCCACCTCTCTGACTCCATTTTCTACCAAACCAAGAATCCAGCCAATTTGAAGTAAGCTGATATATGCTATAGCAAAGAATAAATTATTTGCCAGATGCATCTCAATTATAATAAGTAGATTAACTTAGTTGGATGGTTAGGTACAATTGAGCTTTGTAGTTTGCAGGCTTTTCTTTCTGATGAGTTTTAGTTCAGGGGGTAGCACTAAAATTTCAATCTAGATTTCTATGATCAGTTGATCCACCCAAACTCCTTGATGGATACAGGTCTTCAAACACTGTATCACATCTGAAACACAATCCTTCTCAAAGGTCCACTACAAGTGACATATCTTGTTTTGAACTCTGTTGTACAAATATGGTCATTTGCCCCAATTTTCACATCACATCAGATATCTTGAAATTCTTCTGCTGTACATTCATGAAGTTAGTTCTGTTTCAACAAGCAGATTGACTGATTGATCAGAGGATGTAAAGTTGTTGAATTCTCTTTGTAAAACCAAGTCTGTTGGTCCAAGTAATCATGATGTTTCAAAATAGGTATTTTGATTAGGAAATGAAGTACAGGACTTGACATTCTCATGTTGATAAAAAAGATACACTCATCAGAAAAGTTGTGTACAACAAGAGATAAAATTGACCAAAATATTGTCAACTTGGACCTGCTTTTGCAATACAAAATCTGTGACTGGTTACTGGTAATAGTAGTAAGTAACTTGTTGTTTACATGCAATACAAAATCTGTAACTGGTTACTGGTAATAGTAGTAGGTAACTTGTTGTTTACAGATTGGAATATTGGGAATATAGGTACATCAAGTAAAAAGGCTATTGTGTTATCAGGTTGGGTTGTGATGTCTATTTTACCACTTGGTAAAATGACATCATTGTGATCCTTTTGATAGTTCACATCCTTTTTTCTATCTCTTGTTTACCTTATTCCGTCTAAATTTACATTTCTTTAGGTTTCTAGTATTTTTCAAAGGTATTCATCAAAGTATTTTCAAAGCCCTCCCACCACACCCATCTTTATCAAGCAGCTGTTTTAAGATTAATCCTAAGTCTCATTCTTTATTTCTTATTTTATATTGGTTGCTGTAGTAGTCAGTCTATTTTGTGTAGAAGTTATAGATTTATTGTTCTGATACTTGTTGTTCAATTCTCAATGTTAGTTTATTTTATATTTTATATTTTATATTTTATATTTTACATTTTTATATTTTATATATACAGTTTTATTGTTTTAGTTTTTGTTATAATTGTACCGCTAGCCACCCTGTAGGGTGTAGGTTTGGTTTGATGACAATAAGGGGTGTCAAGTTCAACTTTTTTACGGTAAAAACCGTAAAAAACTTTCCCGTCATAGCACAAATTTACGCAAAATTTACGAGAACGGGAAAGTTTTATCTATCCCGTTCTCGCATAAACGTAAACAGATAAGTTTACAACATAGCTTTGAAGACTTAAATTTGACCGTTTCACTCTTGGAAAGAGGTGTGCTTGATAGTGGATGCAAGGACAACCTTGCATCCTCTTACCAGCAGTTTTGTCATTACCGTGTGGAAGATCGAGGCGAAAACGTAAAAAAGCCTTGCTCGTGGTTTACAAGCAATGATAAAAACTCGGGAAACTTTTTTTACAGTTAAAACATAAAAACTTTCCCGTCTCATAGTTTTTTTGCTGTAAAAATTTGAACTTGATACCCCTTAATGTAACAAAAACGTTTCACCCAGTTTCTGAAAGTTCAGTTCAATATTATCGTGAGTACATGACAATATTTCAAAAAAAAGGCTTGTACACGAGATGTCCTTCATGTCCAGCCTAGGTTTTGAACACTTTCTGATCATTTCCATTTGTCAACAATACATCAACATTGTTCTTTGAATCTGGCCAAAGCTGCCATAGGAGTGTGGGAATAACAAAAGGAAACTGACTTATGACCAAGTAGATGAATTCAAAAGTTGCAAAAAGACTGCGCATCTCAGAGGATGCTTGGCTGACTCCACTGGGGCTCGAACCCAGGACAACATGCGAACACAATGTTAAGCAGGCGCTCTACCAACTGAGCTATAGTGCCATGATGTTTTTCGGTCTCGGTACTACTTCGTCCCGGGTGTGCCAAACACCGGGTCGTAACATTAGATTTCAGTGCTGGGTCAAATTCTTTCCAAAGCCAATCGAACATCCAAAGTATATAAGAAACACCAAGATGGAAAAAGAAGAAGAACAGCTTGAGTCTGAGTCAGCAAGGATTATCAAAAACGAACCATCCAACCCAATCCCACTCTCATTCCCTGCCATTCTCATCAATCCTCGTCTCAAGCATCTCACTCAACCGAACACCAGAAGACCAAATCAACGTCAAACTACAACTACATCAGCTACTTCCCGTGCTCAAAATCAAGGTCGACGACGACTCAACAGACTGGAAAATGGTCAATCTTTGTGTCCTTTGCATCGTGAAATCAAAGCTTACTTTGGATTCGTGTCTGTACTTTGTATCACCAGCCAATTTCTCTTCGAATCCCCACGTTATACGACCAACTCTAGCAGATTATCAACTTCAAAAACTTGTCACGCGTCCTACGTTTCCAGCACCTCCGCCACCTCAGTTTCCAATCTCACTGATCGCTCCTGGAAGAGAAGCAATCGAGGTTGACCCACCTTCAGCTGCATTTGGTTCATTTAATCGTTCCTTGAAAGGAATACGTAAGAATATCAGAAGATTGGTATTCGGACCTCGTGCTTGCAATTCGAATGTTGATAAACAATTCACCGGCGGAAGAGTCGCAGAGATCCTCAAGCTTGTTGATGAACAACTTTCGGACTGGATTCGTACGAGTGCAGTATGGCTGCCAGAGGAGTTGAATGATGGTTTACACAACACACGGGTCATAGATCCAACAATCTATCCATCTTCCGATCTAGTCTCGTCCCGATCAGTAGATGTGGAGCACACACCTCAGCCAACAATAGTAGAATTATTGCGTTCGCCTCATAAGGTTACTTGGGATATCCCTGATCCCTTTGCTCGATACTTGGTACACGCGGTCGCTCGATATTATGGTATTGTCTCTTTCGCTCGTCAAATATCACGGCCTACTCAAGCCCCACAGCGACTGGTAGTGATGGTGAGAGCACATCTGCCAACGAGGCAAGGCATGCGTCAAGACGGGCGACAATCTCTTGATACTCCACCTACCACTGACCTTGGTAGTGAATTATCGACTGCCGAGCTATCTGACTTTCTTTCGTCTACCGATGATGAGCATGACCCACTAATCCATCAGACTCCGGCCCCTCGTCCCCCGCCGATCCCAACATCCCAACTACTACTCTCACCCACCCCCGAACCAATGAAGACCCCGGTTCGTGCTATCGTTGTGGATTCTGATGATGGTGACAATTCTTCACGATGTGCTTCAGACACAGATGAACTTGAATCACATCTTTCAGATTCGGGTTTTCTACTACCTAAGCCACCTAGCGACTCTGATATAACACCACGAGGAAAGCCAAGTTGGCTTCGCGCCTCACTATCTCAGACTCCAGTCCCATCTACGTCTGTAATGGAAGCCTCACGTAGGAGTCCAGAGCCGGCCGCTCGCCTCAAGCTCAAACAACAGCAGCACCAAGATTCTAAAAAAACCAAGGTTCAACTTACTGATTATTCAGTACCTAAGAAATCATTCATGCAATGGATTCAAGGAGATATCTAAGCTTTTCATGAACTTTTTGTAATGGCCTTTTGGTTCACTTTGGTTTCATTTTGATTGGTACTGTGGGCTTTTCTCATGAGCTTCAATTTGATTTGGCTCCTAGCTGTTTTTATACAGCGGCTTTGTTGATATGTAGATCGGTATGATTGATAGATGTGAATGAGAAACAATCGTAAACATTTGTAACATTGGCTCAGGGAACATTCATCACCTTTTCACTGCATACATTCCAGTCAAATCATTTCACAAGAAATCTAATGTAGCGCACTTCATTGTTCAAACAACTGTGGCAATAGCCTCAATCTCAACTAATACATCTTTCGGTAATCTAGAGACCTAGAGAAACCGGACAAAACTGTGTAAGCGGGTCTAGCAAGCTTTACAATCGAAGAAATGGTACAAACCTCAACACAACTTCGAGCCGGTTTGTGATCAGCAAAAGTGCGAGCATATACTTCATTGATAGTTCCAAAGCTGTTCATATCCTTGATGAAGACTGTAGTCTTGACTACTGATTCAACGGAGGATCCAGAAGCAGCAAGGACGGCTTTCAAGTTTTTGAGGCATTGTTCCTGTTGATCAAAGCAAGACAATTATTACACAATGGAAAAAGGAAGTTTGGAATTGCGAAAAGTGAAGATGATACGCACGGTTTGAGCAGCTACATCACCGTTTGATCCCACTACTGACATCGTACTAGGGTCAAGTGGGATACAACCGCTGATGAAAACCAGTCCTGTACCAGTCTTGATCGCTTGAGCTATAACGCAAAACATTTTTGGTCAATATCCATCACATTCTGTTCACGTATGTGATTATCTGAAGAGGTAAAAAAAATCCTCACAATAAGGTCCGATTGCGCTTGGAGCATCAGATGTAGAGACCACTGAGTTTGATGTTTGAACCATTTTGGTATTGCTGAATGTACGGTATTGATGAAGTGAACGTTTGAAGGTATTTGAAGAGATGGCAACGGATCTGATTGTAGGAAGCAATGGAATCATCTTCAACTCAAGTACTCACTCGAGTTTTTTCCCGTTTTGCTCTACCTGTGATCGGAATGAGGTTCATTTGAATGAAAGGCTTGTGATACTTGGGTTGAGTCTCGTGAAACATTTCATGACATGCTTTAGTAGTTGATCAAAAGAGTGACACTTGATGAATGAAACTTGAGATTTTTTGCAACTTGACCTCCGAGTCCCCCGTAGATGACTGTGACTTTGGATATGCAAGGCCCTCAACTGCATAAATCACAGGTGTACCTGCAAGAAGTTGTTTGTTCTCTTCATCCCAATAGCAACATGTTGCAAAAAACAATGTGTGTCAAATTCATCTACATGTCTTTCCTCGAATTTGCATTGTAGCCTCGTCAACATTGCCCTCCAAATTATGGAATCCGATACAAAAGCTCACCAGAGATTTCCGAGTAAGCATTTAACCCAGAGAAGTTCACACTTGCTAAGTACAAGATACTCCAAAAGATAAATCCGGAGCAAAGAGCCCTCATTAAGCGGCTGAGCGTGCGGCCAAAGTTGTTGATGATGCTGCCGGATCTGTTGAACATGAAGTTGATCTCCTTCGGAATATCCAATTTGAGACTTGGATGATAGAATATCGAGGTGAATATTCAAAAGAAGTTATCCGTATTCTGAAGGGTCTTGTCAACGATGAACGTTCAGATACGAAACAACATTTACGTCTACTCAAAACGTCTCGATCACATCCCATACGGTCCATTGGGTACTTGTGGTTTGAATGATGAGAAAAATTTGGGCTATGCCTGCAATGCCGGGAAACAAAGCAGCTGCTTCAGTGCCAATCGTATCTCCACCACAAAGAATTCAAGATGCACCTGTCTTGGGGCAAGCTTTTTCTTCCCCGCCATCCAAGGAGCTTACCTGGGTTCCTGGAGGCTCCAAATTGCAAAGGTCAGAAATGAACCAGAAGACAACATAAACATCTGCAAAGAGTGAATTTGGCATTTTTCAGCTCCAGTACAATCTGGACAAATCATTTAAATGCCATTCAACTAGTCTTTCCCTTCCAAAAAAAATAATGTCTAGTATTTTGGACTCAATATATCAACTTTTATTGTCTTTAAACATTTACAGTCCACAAACATTGCAAGATGTAAAAATTTTGTGCTTCAGGGTTATTGTCTTCATAAAATCATCTCTAATTCATCAAGGTGTTTCTGATTTGGTGGGATGTCTCTTATGTATTAGAATTTAGATCTCAACCAATCGAGGTAATTATGATACCCATGTAAATTCATCTGAATCATTTTCAGTCAAACTTCATTCCTCATTCAAGCTGAGATTTCCCTTTTTGATACTTGTTTGTATCTTTATCTTGATAACTTGGTCAAATTGTGGTTTGTGTCAATCTGATGCGCAAGCTGTGTGGCTTGTGGGTCTATCCATTGAAGGATGCTCATGTGCTCTTCTAGAATGTGAAGAAAGGCTGATATGCAAAAGTTTGGGTAATTGAATTGTAGAGGAGTAGAGGGCTTCAGTCCGCCTTGCTTTGAAGCTTGAAAAATCCTCATCTTCATGACAAGGCTCGAGTACCACCTTACAAGAGAGGTATCTTCCTAGTAAGCATGAACAATCACATCTAAAAAACTCCTTCAGGGGATAATTCACAGCCTTCTGTTCTCAAAGTTCACTTTGCTCAACTTTCTTAAGGCGCGTTCACTTAAGGAATTTCTGACCAGAAATCACATTCTGTATGATGATACCATCATTCTGTAACAGTGTGTATAAGTTGAACCAAAAGATGTGCTTGCATGTCAAAACATTTATTCTCCTTTCCATCACCCTGACTCTTGGCTCAAGATTTTTATGTGTGCCAAATATGATTGCACAAATGGGGTAGCCACAAGCTTCTGTTATGCGTGTTCAAAGACTATGGCACGTGTAATTACATATTCCAATCAAATGATCCTAGAAACACGTCCTTGTAATGGTGCAATTGGTTATCCACTGCTCTTGATTGGACGCAAGAATCATGAATATATTAAGGGGTTTCAAGTTACAAATTTTTTTACGTTTTTTTTTACAAACGGTCAAGTTTTTTGCAACAACGTAAAATTTTAAACTTGACCGTCCGTAAAAATCCAGCATGTTGGATGATTACGGTTGTAAAATGAAAGTTGACCATTTCAGATACCCGAGCTCTTTATGACCAACCTTGTAATGAGATATCACTTGTTGAACAAGTGAATCAATTTTAATCCATGCCTACTTGACCTTTTCGAAGGTCTCAAAAACCATTTGAAACCCGTTTTCCAGATGGTTCAAACATCACAAAGAAAAAAACTATTCACACTGCTGAAGAGCTTCTTCAAATAGCCGAAGAAGATGAAGATGACAAAATGATGGAAGAAGAAATACTTGGTGAACATATTGTTCCAACATTTGGCGATATCCTGTTCGATGACGATGAAGAGATGGCCTTCTTGACCGATCTCCTCTTCAACGATGTCGACGATGCCGAAGATCTCTTGGAAATCCTGGAAAACCTCCGTTACCATGATGCACGGTGGAAGATGCCATTCGAAATGGACTTCAGTTTAAATGACCTACTTCGTGATCGAGAAGCAGAGTTTTGACAATCAATGAGAACTTCTCACGCCGGCTTCTACGCCATTCTGGAAGTCATCCAAGGTCATGAGATCTTCATGTCGACTAGTCGAAACCCACAGCCTCCTCCGATAATTCAACTTGCTCTTACTCTCGAGCGGCTTGGAAGTAACGGTACAGGTTGCTCTGTACGCCGTCTGGGTAGGGATTATAAGAGATCCATGGGGGCCATTGTCAACTGTACTCGAAGGTGTCTGACCGCCATCGATGACCTATGTACTCACTACATACAGTGGCCTAATGAGCAAAGGCAAGAAGAAATTTCGACAGTAATGGCTCTTGAAGGATTTCCAGGATGTGTTGGGTTCGTCGATGGAACCAACATTCCTCTGTATCAACGGCCTGGACTTGATGGAGAGACGTTCTTCGATCGAAAGAAGAGGTACTCGCTGAACTGTCAAGTGGTCGTGGATTGTGATCGTCGGATCATTGGTCTATACAGTGGATGGCCTGGTTCGTGCCATGATCAAAAAGTGTTTTCATCAATGTCACTCTCAACAGATCCAGACGAATTCTTTTCTGATGGTAAGTATGTTTTCTCTTTCTTTCTCCTCTGTATTTCTTTAAAAACATTCTGACGCATATCACTATTTAATTAGATGAATACTTATTAGGTGACTCGGCATACAAAATCACAAATACAGTTGTTTCAACTTATAAGGCGCCAGCATCAAGACTCGAGAGAAATTCACTCTTCAATACACTGGTTGCTATAGCTCGAATTCGAAATGAACACGGCATCGGCATCTGGAAAGAGAGATTTGGATCTCTTCAAGGCCTGCGATTAAGGCTTGATCGCGATGAGGACATGCCATTCATACTGATATGGATCAAAGTATGTGCAATCCTCAGTAATATGCTTGCGGACTTAGGTGATCAGTGGGAGGAGGAATTCGAAGATGATTACATACATGATAATTATGAAGTAGCTGCTGTTCTTGAGATGGAACTAGATCCTACTGATCCAATTGGAGTTCTGCGTCGAGAACTTGTGAGGGATCATGCAATTTCTTTCAATGAAGATTCTTAACAATTGTTTTACAGTAGACCTGATTAATGTTCACCTCAATCTCTCTGTTATGATCATTTACACAATCCAAACCTAATGATAATTTTAATTTCAAAACAAATTTTGATTTTGACTATATCAAGTCTGATACAAAGGAAATATAAGCGCAGTCATACAAAGAGAGATAAGTTGAATATTTGCTTGGAAAAGATTTCTTTTGGGAATAGTTAACATACATCAGAATAGTTAAGATACATCACTTGGAAAATAAAAGTTGAATATTTGCTTGGAAAAGAATTCTTTTTGGAATAGTTAACATACATCACTTGGAAAATAAAAGTTCCATATATTCTTTGATCTCTTGAATAGACATTCCTTTGACTTGACATGCTTCCATCACTTCACGAAGAGTTTTGATTCTTTCTTGTTCAGCTCGGTCCTCTTCAGCTTGAACTAATCTCGAATTTTCTTTGTTGAACTTTTCTCTCTCCCAGTTGATGTTCTTGTCAGCAAGTTCGCTTTCAAGTTGAGCTTTTTTAGCGTCCGCACTCTGAGAATCTAGACGGGCTGCTTCATATTTCTCTTTATCCCATTTCAAAGCATTCTCAGCTATGTTGGCTTGAGATCTAAGCTGATTTTCTTCATTTCGCTTCTTCTCTTCGGTCTTGCGATCAAAAAACTCAAATCTCTTCTCATCTCGATCTTTGACAAGCGCCGCTACTGGTGCTTTGCGGCGGCCGGGATTAGGATCGACAGCAGGTAAGGGTTTCATTGGTCGATTTCCAACTGGTTCAGCGCCTCGCTTGCGCTTCTTCGCCGTCCTGGTAGCCTTTCTAATTGATTGTGCTCCATCTTCATTTGCTGATTGCAGATCGGATTCAGGATTGGGTGATTCAGGATGAGGTAAATCAGGAGTGGGTGATTCAGGATGAGGTAACTCAGGATTGGGCGATTCAGGATGAGGTAAATCAGGAGTTGAAGATCGAAAGTAGTTATCATGATCTTCATTATGTTCAAGTTCAGGCAGCGGTAATTCAAGTCTTCCATCTGAACTTCCTGACAAGATTTCATCGTTTTCTTCGCCTTCAAAGTCCATCAAATCATCAAGTGGTGGTGGAGATCGATCAGGTAACAGATCTTCAAGGTTGTTTTGAGGTGCCAACGTCGTTGCTTTTGGGTTGTAATGAAACTCGGCATCCAAGTTTGGATCAATGACCGAGTCCTCTAGAGTTGGATTGTGAGAATTGATTGATAGGTCCTTAGATTGAACCGTATCGAGTATCGCATGAGGAGTTATATTAGCTTTGTGACCGTAAATGTCGTGGATCATCTGGAATCTTGGGCACATCTGTTCCTTCTTTTTCTCAGTTGTATCAATGCCATTTTCATAATCTTTATCGAGTAAACCTGAACCCGTACTCCTGTCAAAGTATCGTTTTGTTTTGATGTATTTGTCTTTGATCGTTCTCCATCTCTTCATCATTCCAGGACCGTTGAGTTTCATTTTGTTGGTTGCACGAGCTGATGACTTCTTGTTCCGATTGTTATGAAATACATTCATCAAGGTTGCCAGAGTTTCCCAACAGCCTGCTCGAGTCGTTCCATCCACGGCGGTTATGCTGCCAGAGCCGAAGAGGCAATCTTGGTTTTCTTGCATGGCCATCAATCCGAGCAGGTGATCCAAGTCATCATTGTCAAAGCGTGGGCTGTTGTAAGCAGTTTCTTTCAGTTCAGTTTCTTCAGATTCAATATCTTTGTTTGTAACTGCCACTTTTGGCTTCGAGGATTGCTTAGATTGGGTGGCGACAATAGCTGGCTTAGATTGGGTGGCGACGATAGCTGGCTTAGATTGGGTGGCGACGATAGCTGGCTTAGATTCCGAGGCGAAGATAGCTGGCTTAGATTGAGGAACCTTCACTTTAGGTCGCTTAGGTGGTTGAGGTTTGGAGGTACTAGCAGAGGTCTCGCGAGTTCTTGCAGTCTCTTTAGATTGTCGAACTTGAAGTGCTGTGGGTTTTTGTCCAGGTAACAAGCCACAGTCCGCTGCAATCTGATCCTTTGATCGTCGTGGCATCCTTCAAATAGATATCAAGACATTGATTAGAAAGGACCTCCATTCTTCGTTCATGATTCTCTTTTACTTACTTAATATGGACTTGAACACATTTGATTGCCTCAAAGCCTTGATTGAAAGAAACAAAGATTCAAAAATGATTTCAATTGAATATTATTGAATAGATGTTGGTGAAAGTTGGATCGTAATAGAAATCGAGGATGAGAAGGAAGAGTGGTTTGATTAATAGTTGGTGGTCAACCGGTTCAAAGTGAAATGGTCAACAGGGTTAAAGTGAGTTTGCGGTCACGGGGTGTTTTGGTCTTCCAAACTGGAGTACCGGGGTCAAATCTGGTCAAAACTTGACCGGATTGTTTTCGTAAAGCGTATATTTACGTATATTTACGCTAATTTTAAAACGGCAGACGTAAAAAGGTCTGCCGTTTTAAAATTATTTTACGTAAAATTTACAACAACGGGAAAGTTTTTTGAGCGTATAATTGCGTAAAATTTCGAACTTGAAACCCCTTATTAGGGGGGCTCAAGTCAAATTTTTTTACTACTTTCATCATAAAAAACTTTTCCCAAATTCATAAAATTTACGCAAAATTTTATGAAATTGGGAAATGTTATACGACATCCCAAATTTTTTTAAGCAGCAAATTTGCGTAAATTTGCTGCTCAGAAGGAGATCCGAAAGAAAAAAAAATTGGTCCTTTTTACGAATTGGGAGAAGTTTTTACGGTACCGTACCGTAAAAAACTTTCCCCATTTTTTACGAAAAGGTCGCAAAGATTTTGACTTGAGCCCCCTTATTATGAAGATCATGCCATTTTACAAATTTTGACAAGCCTGAGGCTGCAGTAACTTTTGATCCGTCGACAGGGCAGACCCGACGAGTACACGTTCTAGGTTCCGAATCCGAAAACGCGGAACGCAAACTAGCGTCGGGTTTCCAGTTTGTGTGCATTTCAAGTTTTGACTTATCCAGTGGACCCTAGTGTAGTAGTGGACCATCCAAAGCCATCCAAGCATCATTACCGCCTCAACGTCAAATGTCCAATAACTTACTCGAAGCTTATCGGTTAGCTGTTCCAATTCCTGAGGTCTTCCTGATTCCTGACTTCATCACTGAGGCAGAAGAAAGTTATCTATCTGAAAAGGTTGGTCGCGGGTTCGGCCTTCGACGTCCCTTGGGGTTAAAAACTCGACCTCCAATGACAAGTCGTCACTGATCATCAATGCATTCGTTGCTTCCAAACTGCTCCCTCGTTCTTCATTGTCTCATATATGTATGTGGACTGAAGTCAGATAGATGAAGTTGGTAATTCAAATATAGTATTCCAACCCAATGGCTCGTCTTCACTACGAGCCGGTGGTTGGCAGCGCGTTAAACAAAGAAGGTCGGTTCGTATATCTATGCGGCACTTCCTTCTCTTCTACAAAAGCGAGATGTTGATTCTTCCTTCCTTGCGATGATTCGTCCCCCTTATTAGATCGATGCATTGGGGAGGTACTCTGACCGCAAAGGGGCGGTTGATTCCCAGAGCCTTACCGCCATTCATGACGCAACAATGGCCCAACGTCTTTGAACGCATCTCGAAACTAGGCATATTCAATGATTTTGAGTCTCCAGACGACAAACTCATTCGACCAAACCATTGTCTCGTGAATGAATATATCGGAGCGGAAGCAGATGGTATACTGCCTCACCAAGAGTTTGTCCCCTTGATCGAAATCATCTTCAGTCTTGTTTGACTTGTCTGCTTCCGCATTTCATTTCTAGAATGATTTGTGGCATAAGGTATTACATTAACTTACTTGAATTTTCCCCTTTTCCCATTCGATAGTGGTCCAGCATATTTGCCGATTGTCGCCACTTTATCATTAGAATCGCATACAATCTACGACTTTCATTCTTATCTCGATGATGACTCTATCACATCACAGAGTCTGACGACAAGCTCTCTGGCTGTCCCTTCCCTCGTTGTTCAACCTACATCCGATGACCCAATTTGCAGTAGCGATATCAGCAAAGGCCGCACTATATCTCCCGATCCTATCTTTTCAATCTTTGTCCCTCGTCGGTCCCTGATTATCCTCCGGTCACGCTGTTATACTGATCTTCTTCACGCCATACCGAATAGAAGATTTGATGGATTGTATACCGATCTATCTCGTTGTCTTAACTGGAAACCCGAAGCTGTTCTGTGTTGCTCTCTTTCAGATTCATCTGAACCTCAACTAGAACGTACTCGTCGGGTTAGCTTAACCTGTCGACGGGTCAAAAAAGTCATTACAGGCTTGTCAAAATTTGTAAAATAGCATGTTCTTCATATCATGATCCTTGAATCCCTCAGGAGCATTGGATAATCAATTACGCCATCACAAGGACATTTTTTGAGATCATTTGATCGGAATATGCAATTACACATGACATAGTCTCTGACGACGCATAACAGAAGCTCGCGGCTACCCCATTCGTCTAATAGTCTTGGACAAACGAATGAATTCTGAGCCAAGAGTCAGGTAATGAGCAGGGGTCAAAAAAGAAAGAATAAACAAAGACTTGTGCATCTAAAGCCCAAGTTTTCTCATTTTCGTCTTTCAGTTGTGCATGTTTTGACCCGTAAGTACCTCAATGATTGCTTATGCACAATTCTACGGAATGAAGGTATGATGCTTTGGGGAAGGTTGAAATATTGGAGTTCAAGAACAGAAGAAAAACTTTGAGTTTTCTCCTTCAAGAACCTCTCAAACAAGATTATTCATGCTTGCTAGGCAGAGATGACATTGCCACTTGTTTCACAGGTTCTTTTGTAAGGTAGTATTCAAGGCTCGTCATGAAGATGAGCACTCTTCTACCAACTTACTTACCTAAGCATTTGTATGTCAGTATTCTTCACACTATAGAGTCAGACGCGCACATAGACATCCTGAGCAGATAGACCCATAAGGCACACACCTCATATGCATACTCGAGGTATTTGGGTGAAATTTGGGAGCCGTGCATAAATTTGATCAAATCATCAAAAAAATAAGGATATGAATGAAGAACAAGTACTGTGCTAAAGCAAGTTTTGCTGATGGATAGCTATCTCAATCATCTCAATTGGCCAAGATCCACTACATAAACATTACCACACCATATCAGAAAGAAACCAAGCCTTGAAAGTAAAGATAAGTATATAAGGACAATAACTCCAAAGCACAAAAACTGTACATCTTACAATGTTGGTGGACTGTAAAAGTGTCAAGACAATAAAAGTTGCTCTCAAGTTTAAAATACTATAAACTGGTTTTTTGAAGGGAAAAACAAAATATCATTCGAAAGGTTTTTCAGATGCTTAAGCTGAAAAACACCAAATTGACTCTTCGCAGAAATTTACCTGTATTTCGGTTCAACTAGACCCTGGAAATTCGGAGCCTTCATGAGAATAATGGTTTTCCAACGCTGTCAGGGACACTATTGGCGACGGTAAGCTTCTTAGATTGCGGTGAAAAAGTAGTTTGCCCAGAGACAGCCACACCTCGATTTTTTCGTAGTGGAGATATGATAGGATTTGAAGCAGCTACTTGGTCTTCGGGCATTACAGGCATATTTCGAAGTTTCCTTATCAAATCCAAACCGTAAGTACCCGATGATATGGGATGTGATCGAGACGTTTCGAGTATACGTAAATAATGTTGTGCATTTGAACCTCCATTTTGAACAAAACCCTTCAGAATATGCACGACTTCTTCTAAATGTTCACTACGACCTTCTATCACCAAAGTCTCGAAATAAATATTGCGAAGGAGATCGACTCCATGTTCATCAGATCCGGTAGCATGATCAAGAGCTTTGGCCGCACGCTCAGCCGCTTTAATGAGGGTTCTTCGCTCTAGATTGATATTTTGGAGTGTCTTGTACTCAGCAACTGTGAATTTCTCTGAGTGGTATGCCAATCCAGCCCAATCTGCTTGGCGGGTGCTTGATCGGAAATCTCTAGTGAGCTTTTCTATGGGATTCCATTCAACGAGAACTGGCTCTCCTAACATTCTCGCAAACTCGAGGTACTTTTGCTCTTCTGAAAATTGATCTGGTGGTTAAATTCAATCGAACCAGAGCTGTTTGAGTCCCTTGTGATTTTCAACGCAAGCTTGCCCAACATAAGTAAGAATCTAGAGAAAAGAAACAACTGACAATCTATCCATCTCCAGGCTGCATGTACTTCATGAAGTTGTGGTACCGGCTGTCGAAGTCTTCTCAAATCCGACAAAGAAGGCCGAGGTGGTAGACTGGCACCAGTCAAAGCCGCGGGTTTCTCAGTTAAAGACGTTATCGGCTGCTGCTGATTTAAAGAGTTTAGCCTTTTTTCTAGGGGTTTGAGATACGGGAGTAGTTCTGGATCTTGAAGTTCTGCTTCAAACAACTTGTTCAATATAAAAATTTCGGATCGAATGTCTGCTCCACCTCCTGCTCTTTCTTCCAAGTGATCCATTGCCTGGTCCAGGGCGATGCGAAGATTCTGGTATAATTCCGGGAGTCTTATCTTCGAGATATATTTTCTGACCTTCGGACTTAGTCTAAGGAGGGTTGTGGAGCGTTGTCTGGCGGTTCTCATATCGGCCAGTGTCGCGGCCAAAGCCCCATCTTCTCCCCAACTTTTGGTCCTCATGACGCCGGCGAGGACCTCTTCATAACCTGCATGTGCTGATTATAGACGAACAACAAGTAAGCTTGAGCCCAGCAGTTTTCTCTTGTGATAAAGAAGCTATTCCTGATTTTACTCAAGACAGAGTGCTTACCAATATTCCAATTGTCGCTCAAGTCGGAATTCAATCCAAACAGAAGTTTTCCTTCCATTTGACGCATTTTGACTGCTAGTGAGACCTTCAATGACTTGGGTTGTACAAAAGTTCGAGTGGCTTTGGATCCATCGACACTTTCACCAGCACCAGTGGCTGCTGACACTCCAGCTGCGGATAATTCCCCACCGACGGCTTGCACACAGAGCTCGGGACTTTGACGACATTCAGATATCTCTATCGTAGACTTTACAATGTTCGCATGGTGAGTCTCATCAATCCCAGCAGAGCTTTGATGAGCCACATTCATCACTTCCGGGACCGAAGGTGCAATGACCCTGTCAAGTGAAAAAAGCCACACTAGGCTATATATCATGAAGTGCATGAGCACATTGGTGGTGGTCATGGTGGTAAGGGAATGAGCGTCCAATAAATAACTGGGGAATGTGGAGTGATCGGGTGACTTCAAACTTCAAAGGGAGCGATGAAAAACAGCGGCAGATTTAGGGAGGCCAAGAAAGGTTCAGAGACAGGGGATAGAGGTATGTCCGCCTTTGACTACTAGAGATTGTCTTCCTGCAAGCTTCTTCTTTCAGATCGATTGGTCCATCGGAATCCTTTATCAAAGCTAAATGTTTCGGCTTGTGGTGGTACCTCACATGTCGGGCTTAAAGTCAATGCTTTTCAACGATGACATACATAGTAGAAGCGTGTTTGGGGTACATGGTTTGCCTCAAGTAGCATTCCTCTTGATTTTTCCTCGTTGAAAAGTGTGTGTGAACTCAATTAACTTACTCATCAAGACGTAAGACACAAACAAGAGGCAAAAAAGGCTAATGAGTCAAGCTTGACTTAACCCGATTCAGTCAAACATCCCAGTGAAAAATGTAGCACCATTAACCCAGAGGCATCATAAATAGAAATCATTCTCACATCAGCAAGAAAGTAAACTGTTTCAATCAGAGTAGAGACGACTAAAATGGATAATGGTGAAGCACACAAGCTGTGTGAGTTGCAAATTTTACGGATTGAGAATGTGTAAAGACAATGAATCGGTTTCTTGATTCGAAGACTGACAATGATATACAATGTGACTTTCTTGAAAGGGATAGACTAATGAAGTGTCATTCAAATGACTTTTTCAGGCGAGTCCTAAACTGAAACACAACAGATGTACTTTTGGGAGGATGTATCCTAATTCCCGATTCCTGTCTGGCCTTTGAAAATCAAAGCCTTCAGGAAGATCTTGCGTTACTGATTCTAACAGCCAATCTTAACTCGTGGTGGCGGTAAGATCCTCTGTTGGGCGTTAAGAGATAGTTTGTGCTGAAGATACGGCCGGGTTTGAAGCAGCTGCTGGCTTTTTGGGAACCGGAGGCGTTCGACGCAAACTCAACAGCCTCGAATCCCACGTCTTTTGTGCGATGGCCGAATCGGGGGATCGGATGGCTTCGAGTAGATCCAAGTAAGCTTTTGCCTTCTCACTGCCATGCTCAATAGAACCTTTTAAAAGATGCACAACTTCTTCTGAATGATCACTAACACCTTCTATCGTCAAAGTTTCGAATTGAATGTTCCGAAGGAAATCCACTTCTCCTTTATCGGTTCCAGGAGGATAAAAACCAGCTTTAGTCCGACGATAGGCAGCTTTGATGAGTGCTCTTCGCTGTAGATCAATCTCCTCAAGTGTTTTGTAATCGGAAACTTTGAACTTCTCTGGGTGGAATTCCTGGTCAAACCAGGCCGACTGTTGGGTGCTTTCTTTGAACTCTCTCGTGAGCTTTTCGATAGGACTCCATTCATCGATCACTGGGGTTTTTAAATTTCTCATATGTTCGAGAATCTTTTGTTCTGCTAGAAATTGATCTGGTAATTGAATTTCACCCCCAAAAAAATGCTTGAGTTCCTTGTTATTTTTGATCATAAGCTAACCCGAGCTAGAGAAAAGAAACAAAATCAATCTTACAATTCATCCATCCCCAGATGTGACCTGATTCTAGTTTTGGTGTTAGTTGTCGAAGTTTGTTCAAATCCGAGAAAGAAGGGCGAGGTGGTATATTTGTATTGATCAAGCTCTGGGGCTTCTCAGTGGACGGCTTTGGTGGATACTTCTTATATAAGGAGTCTAGCTTTTCTTTGGAGAGTTTCAGATACGGAAGTAGTTCAGGATCTTGAAGTTCTGCTTTAAACAATTTGTCTAATATAAATATTTTGGCCTCGACGTCTACTCCACCTCTATTACTAGCTATCAGATGATCCAATATCTGATCAAGAGCGCTGCCAAGATTTTGGTATAATTTTGGTAGTGCTGTCTTCGAGATATGTCTTCTGACTTCCGGACTTAGTCCAATGATACTCGTGGAGCGTTGTCTGGCGGTCTTCATATCGGCCAGTGTCGTGGCCACAACCCCTCCGTCTCCCCAATTTTGGGATCTCATGACCTCAGCGAGGACCTCTTCATAATTTGCATGTGCTGATTGCAGGGAAACATTATGTAAGCTTCAGATTCCAAAATAGAGCCTGAGGTGAGAAAGAGGACTTACCGATATTCCAATTGTCTCTTAATTTGGGAAAGAACCCAAACAGAAGTTTTCCTTCGATCCGACGCATTTTCAGTACTATTGAGACTTTCCACGACTTGGATGGTTCCAAAGTTCGAAGAACTGAGTATTCATTGGGCTTTAAGCTTTGACCAGCACCACTGCTTGCTGACGTTCTAGCTATCGGCGATTTCCTATCAAGGAATGACCCACATCCTTCGAGGTTTCGACGACATGGTTGAGAATGAGGTAGTCTTTCACCAGATATCTCTATTGTAGACTTTACAGCCCCCGCATCGTGAGTCTCAGCAATTCCTGAGGAGCTATCATGTACCAAATCGAGAATTCCTGCGGGCGAAGGTGCAATGATGGTACGAGATGAAAGGAGCCACATAAGGCTGTACATCATGAAGTGCAGGAGCACATTGGTGGTGGTCATGGTGATGAGAAAAGAAGCGTCTGATCAATGATTGTGAAATGTGGATGGAGGAATGGGTGACTATGAAGGTCGAACGAATCGATGACTTGGGATGGTTGAGAAATGGTGGTGTCGCATGGACTGCTTGGGAATTGATCCATCTTTAACCTGACCTTGAGTTCTTCCAAGCCTTCCTTTCCAGATTGATTGGCCCACTGAGATATTTTACCAAAGTCGAACGTTTCAGGTTGTGTTAGTCCCTGACATGTCGCGCTTGAGGGCGAAGACGCATGCAAACAACGAAGTTTTGAGATCGTCCGAAAGGGTGCAAGTGTTTAAATTAAATATCCACAGCGAAAACGAAGATCCCTGAACAAATCGAATGTCCAGAGTTTTATAACAGCTCAAGAGTCAGGCTCAGAAGTCAGGGTGCTTCACGCCAGCAGACGTGGCGGGAACGGTTCTGTCCTAGTCTCCAGAGTCCAGATGCACCTTATAACCCCTTAATAACTCACATCATCAATGCCGTCTCTTGGCTGCAGTGTAACCTTAGTCTTGGGCATTTGAATATCATCAACACACAGCCACCAAAAGACTTATTGGTATCTAACGCTCAACTTTTTGACAAAGCTTTCAACCATTTATGATAAAATATATACTTGATTTTTTATATAAATTTCTTTTGCTTTCTTATCAAATTTTTAAAACAAAAATCAAAATTGTAACCAAAAAAAAAACCCAAGTACAATACAATTCCAATCAATACTTTTTGTTTCTTTTTTCTTTCTTATATCAATTGATCAAACATTCAATGATCATTCTCAATAGAAAAAAAAAGATATAAACTTTTCTATCATCAATATCATCATGAATAAAGAAAAAGAACCAGAGAGTGAGAGAGAGATGATAACCAGAAAGAGAAAAAGAGTCAAAGAAAAAAAACCCAGAAAAATAGCGAAAAAAATCGATTGAGAGAGAAAAAACAAGATAGATGAAGAAAAAACAAACGTAGAGAAAAATATAAACTTGATGATTTTTGTGAACAAAAAAACAGAGATTTGAGTAATAACAATATTTTACGATCTTTATCTTTCATTTCTACTACTACTATTACTACCTCCTCCTCTATTACCACTGCCATTACCATTAGGATTACCCCAATATTGATGTGCTGATCCTCGGATCTTTGCTCTACCTCTACCACCACTACTACCACCATACGTAGCTGGTATAGAAGAAGACATAGAAGCCGGTGCTCTTGGAACACCTATCATTCCACCAAAAAAAAGTCATGTTAATAATCAGTACACAAGCAAGTTTGGTAAGAAAACAACTTACGATGTGAAGAAGGACTTAGTGATGGTCCTTCATATCTAGCTCTTTCATTTCGAATCCCACTACTTCTAGGTCCAATAGGAACAGAGGTCGGATGAGGTGGACCAGGCCCTGAAGTGGTACTCCCTACAATCGAACCACGTCCAGAACTTGACGTGTTTCTAGGAGGAAATGGATGGGGTACGTTGGTTCGAGTTGGGACACTCTCGGGTCTACTTGGTTGAGGTTCGGCACTACTGCGACGAGGTGGCCAATTTGCTCGATGGGTTGCGGAGGTAGTGTGAGTGGTCGTAGCGGTAGTAGCAGTAGTCATAGTAGTTGTGGTATTGATGGTAGAGGAGGATCCTTGCAACGCACGCGGTCCTCTTGGGGGTGCACTGATCCAGGATGAGCTACTAGCTCTGGGACTGGTATCTCGGTCAGCTGACGGTGTTAAATCTACAAATCGAGTAGGAGGAGAAGCTGAATTGGCAACGTGAGGTGATTTGGTAGGACTCCTACTACGCATAGGATGAACATGCCCATCTCGATTCCAATTGCTACGAGGATTGAAATGAGATGGATGAGTCTGAGTGGGGGAGCGTGAACCCAGTCGGTATGATTCAACCCGATTGTTTGATTAGGG